AATCCCAGCACTTTGGGAGGCCGAGGCTGGCAGATCACTTGCGCCCAGGAGTTCAAGACCAGCCTGGCCAACATGATGAAACCCTGTCTCTACTAAAAACACAAAAATTAGCTGGGCAAGGTGGCACTCTCCTATAATCCCAGCTACTCTGGAGGCTGAGGCATGGGAATCGCTTGAACCTGGGAGGCAGAGGTTGCAGTGAGCTGAGATTGCACCACTGCACTCCAGCCTGGGTGACAGAGTGAGAATCTGTCTAAAACAGAACAAAACAAACAAAACAAACAAACAAACAAAAAACCTCTTTGCCTAACCCCTATATCCCAGGGATATAGCAATATTTCAACCCTTGGGACATAGGGATTAGGCAAATAGTTCTTATATATAATGGTGTAAAATTAATCATGAAAATCAAACTTGATAAAGGGTACTTCATAAACATTAAAACTTTTTGCTCTATAAAAGAAGCTTCAGGGCTGGGCTCGGTGGCTCACACCTGTAATCCCAGCACTTTGGGGGACTGAGGCAAGTGTGTTAGATAGAAGTTCTAAATTTCTTTTCAAAGAATCAATATGCCAGGATGCTCAACTCTTTGCCTTCTACTTTTAAACTTAACTTCCTCATAAAGCAATCTTTTCGGATTACCTGCTCCACCCTTACTCATTCCGATTACCTGCTCCACCGTGACTCATTCCGATTACCGGCTCTGTCATAACCATCTTTCCCGCCAAACCACTCATCCTGCCATTCTGTTTAAGTTAGCCAATCGGAATTAGTTTAACCTGTGCAGTCTAACCCCAGCCAATAGGGGAACGACACAGCAGCAGGGGCCACGTGCATTAGGGATAAGAACCGCTTCCCCTCCCTTGTCCGGTGTATGCTCACCATGCTCCATCTGTAAGAGTGCACCCTTTTATAGAAGTACCTTTCCTTGCTGAGAATTAAAAGAAAATTTTATATTCGAGTGCTATTTTTTTGCGGCACTGAAACTTTACTTATAACAGGTGGATCACCTGAAGGTTGGGAGTTTGAGACCAACCTGGTCATAAGGTGAAACCCTGTCTCTACTAAAAATACAAAAATTAGCCGTGGTGTGGTGGCAGGTGCCTATAGTCCTAAGGCTCCGGAGACAGGAGAACTGCTTGAACCCAGGAGGTGGAGGTTGCAGTGAGCTGAGATCACGCTACTGCACTTCAGCTTGGTCAATAGAGTGAGACTCTGTCTCAGAAAAAAAAAAAGAAACTTCAGATAATGAAAAGGCCAGCTGCAGACTAGGGGAAGATACTTGCAAATCACACATCTGACAAAAGACTTGTCTGCAAATAAGGCCAGCTGCAGACTAGGGGAAGATACTTGCAAATCACACATCTGACAAAAGACTTGTCTGCAAAATATAATCTGTAAAGAACTCTCAAAATCCAATAATAAGAAAGCAAACCACCCAAGAAAAGTTAATGGACAAAAGATTAGAACAGACACTTTACCAAAGAAAATACAGGAGTGGGCCAGTAGGCAAATGAAAAGATGGAGAAATGCAGATTAAAAGCTCTGTGACCTGTAATTCCAGCACTTTGGGAGGCCAAGACGGGCAGATCATGAGGTCAGGAGATCAAGACCATCCTGGCTAACACGGTGAAACCCCATCTCTACTAAAAAATACAGAAAAACTAGCCAGGTGAGGTGGCGGGTACCTGTAGTCCCAGCTACTCGGGAGGCTGAGGTAGGAGAATGGCGTGAACCCGGGAGGCAGAGCTTGCAGTGAGCCAAGATTTGGCCACTGCACTCCAGCCTGGGCAATAGAACGAGACTCCGTCTCAAAAAAAAAAAATACCCACAAGGAAGACTGAAAAAAAAAAAAAAAAACCATCACGTTCCGGTGAATATTTGGAGGAACTAGAATTCTCATACTGATACAGGAACTAGGAAGAAATTATTCTGGCAGATAGTGAGGTTAAGAGAGTTATCAGTAAGGTTTCCTTTTCATAAAAAGCAGCCCCCAAGTCATTTCTTTTCTAACAAAAAGCAGCCTGAAAAATCAAGCTGCAAGCATACATTAGCAAGCTGGAAGTTTGCATGGGTAAATGCCGGCAACTGTGCCAATAGAAAAGGGATACCTGGAAGCCAGGTGTATTCAACATGGAAGTTCCCTCTTCCCTTTTCTTTGTTGCCATGTGTGCAGTGAAAAAGCAGGCAACTTGGCACCGGCCAGGTGAAGACCCTATCTGCATAATAAAAGATTAGGGTGGGATGGCCAGCTTCTTCCCACACTATGCAAACAGCACAGCAGGTCTGACTGATCTTTCATGCCCTCCGTAAAGCAGGCACTGCCTCCTCAAGCTTATCTATAAAACCCTGTGCATTTCACCATAAAACCAGAAGACCCACTCAGGAGCTCCTCTTTCTCTGCAGGAGAGAGAGCTTTTCTCTTTTCTCTCGCCTATTAAACCTCTACTTTTTTTTTTTTTTTTTGAGACAGAATTTTGCTCTTGTTGCCCAGGCTAGAGTGCAATGGCGCGATCTCAGCTCACTGCAACATTTGCCTCCTGGGTTCAAGCGATTCTCCTGCCTCAGCCTCCCAAGTAGCTGGGACTACAGGTGTGCACCACCACACCTGGCTAATTTTTTGTATTTTTAATGGAGACAGTGTTTTACTATCTTGGTCAGGCTGGTCTCAAACTCCTGACCTCAGGTAATCCACCTGCCCCAGCCTCCCAAAGTGCTGGATTACAGGCGTGAGCCACTGTGCCCAGCCTAAACCTCAACTCTTAAACTTACTTCTTGTGTGTCTGTGTCCTTGATTTCCTTGATGTGAGATGATGAACTTTGGGTATTTACCCCAGACAATGATGCCACTTCAATACATTCCTGATAGGAATTAAAAATGACACGGACCTTTTGGAAACAGTTTGATAGTTTCTCATCATGGTAAACATACACTGATGATATGACTCAGTCATCCCATTCTAACAGCAATGGGAACTTAGTTTCCCCCAAGAACATGTATGCAAATATCCATAGCAATTTTATTCATAATATCCAAAAACCAGAAACAATCCACTTGTCTTTTAGCCAACAAAAAAAGAGTGTCCCATCCATGTCCGGAAATTCTACCCGGCCATAAGAGGAAACAGGGTCTCGATACAGGCAACATGGGAGACCCTCAGATCCTTTACACTAAGCGATAGCAGCGAGACTCCAAGGCTCCCTAGGGTATAACCCCATTCACACAACAGGAAGAAAGCAATTCTATAGAAAGACAGAAGTCAGCAGTGGTTTTCAGGGGTCAGGGGTGGAAGGAGGTTTTTGACTACCAAGGGTGGCTATGGTAGTGGTAGTTACATGACTCTAGCCATTTGTCAAAACTCTGAACTATCTCATGCCTGTAATCCCAGCACTTTGGGAGGCTGAGACGGGCAGATCACCTGAGGTCAGGAGTTGGAGACCAGCCTGGTCAACATGGTGAAACCCTGTCTCTGCTAAAGATACAAAAATTAGCCAGGTGTGGGGGCACACGCCTGTAATCCCAGCTACTTGGGAGGCTGAGGCAGGAGAACTGCTTGAACCCAGGAGGTGGAGGTTGCAGTGAGCCGAGATTGCACCACTGCACTCCAGCCTGGGTGACAGAGTGAGACTCTGTCTCAAAAAACAAACTGAACTATGCACCAAAGAGAACAAATTCTGAAAATTTAATGTGATTTTAAGATGAGCCATGAAAATATAGGAGTGGCAAGTAAGCACATTCATTGTAATGTAGGCATACTAATATGTAATTAGGGTGACTAATTATATATAGTTTGGCTAAATATACTATGAAAGGATGCACAAGGTGTGAAAGTATTTATCTTTATACACATGAAGAAACTGGGCAGATGAAAGGCATAGGTAGCACCATCACTTCTCACTGGGCATTTTATTTTTTACATGAATGAATGTATTTCTGGTCAACAATATTATATTTAAAAACTTGGGGCTGGGCGCAGTGGCTCACGCCTATAACCCCAGCAATTTGGGAGGCCGGGGCGGGTGGATCATCTGAGGTCAGGAGTTCAAGACCAACCTGGCCAACATGGTGAAACCCTGTCTCTACTAAAAACACAAAAAATTAGCTGGGCGTGGTAGTGCATGCCTGTAATTTCAGCTACTCAGGAGGCTGAGGCAGGAGAATCGCTGGAACCCAGGAGGCGGAGGTTTCAGTGAGCCAAGATGGCGCCACTGCACTCCAGGCTTGGTGACATAGTGAGACTCCAGTGGCTCACACCTTTAATGCCAACACTTTGGCCAGGAGTTTGAGGTTGCACTGAGCTATGGTTGTACCGCTGCACTCCACCTTGAGAGACTGAGGGAGACTCTGTCTCAAAAAGACAAAATGAATTCACAACAACAACAAAAAGAAACAAAAAGCAAAACAAAGCAAATGTAGGCACCACCTGTCAAAGAGTCTCATCTACTCAGTCTGGAATCTGTAGGGGTTCCCAGGTGATCTGATGGGCCTAGGGCTGAGACCCACTTTGAAAATCATGTCCTTGATACGATAAGGCATGACCTCTGATGCCAAACTGCTCAGATTCACCCCCAACTCCACCCTTCAGTGGTTGACCTTGAACAAGCGAGTTCATCTACAACCTGTAAGATCAGTGTGAGGATGAAATCAGCATTTACCTGAGGGAGCTGAAAAGTCACCTTCTCCCTTCTCAGTGATCTACTTCTGTTAATACGACCAAAACATTCAGTATCTGTGTAATTTCCAAACCATACCAGTTCTATGAAAGGTGTCTAACCACACCTGTATCTTACATGAATATTTGTGCATCTATTGCTATGAAAATGAGATCTCTACCCTAAATGTTACTTGATGAAGAATAATTCAATTTGTTACTAACAGTCAATTTGTAGAAGATAATTCTTACAAAGTGAGACAAAACACTTTTATTTTCTAACATAATGTCTTTTTTTAAAATTAAGACTGATTTGAACACTTAACACACACATGTTGAAGACCACAAAATGTTTCGTAAGATGATTTAATGTCATGGAAAGATGCTCACAGCATATTATTATATGAACAATCGCACAGAAAAAAAATATTATGTGTGAGATAAAATAGCATTTTTTTTTTATTGAAGTAGAATTCACCTACCACAAAATTCACCAATTCAAAGTGTCCAATTCAATAGCATTTAGTGCACTCACAATGTCGTACTACCTTCGTCACTATCTAGGCCCAGAACATTTTCACCATCCCAGGAGGAAACCCCATCCTGATTAGCAGTCGCTCCTCAGTCCCACCTCCCCACAGCTGCTGAAAGCCACCAATCTGCTATCCATCTCTTCAGATTGGCCTGTTCTGGAACTTTCAAATAAAAGGACTGCACACTGTGTGACCTTTTGCATCTGATGTCTTTCATTCAGTATCATGTATTCAAGGTTCATCCACAGTGTAGTAGGGATCACTGCTTCATTCCTTTTTATGGCTGTGTAATATTCCATTGTATGGATGGACCACATTTTGTTTTATCCTTTCATCTGGTAATATATACCTTGGGGTTGTTTTCATTGTTTGGCCACTGTGAATAGGGCTGCCATGAACATTCATGCACAAGCGTCTTTTTGTTTGAACACCTGTCTCAATTATTTTGAGTAGGTATCTAGGATGGAATACAGGACTGTGGAATAGGGTCATAGGGTAAATTCTGTGCTTCACTTTTGATAAATCAGGGGTCATTTTAGTGGGGGTCAGAGTGGGTCTCTGCAGAACTCAGCTCAGGGGCTCCACCCGCAGCCAAAGTCCGCCCTCTGCGCGCAGGACCAGCTCCGGCTTCCTGCGGGGCTCGGTGTGGTCCGGCAGGACGCGGAAGCGCAGCAGCGTGAGCGCCAGGACCACCTTCATCTCGGCCATCGCGAACGTCTGCCCAATGCAGTTCCTGCAGGAGGGGGGTGGGAACTCTGACTGCAACCAAGAACCCCATCCTGGCCCCCTCAAGCCGGGAACCTGGCCTGGGACAGCCAACCCCACCTAGAGTAGCTTGAGGATAGAGAAGTGGGTATCCGTGCCTGGATCCCCATGTGGGCTTGCATATCCTGCAAGCCTAGCCCAGCTCCAGCCCCCAGCCTAGACCAAGGTGGGGTGGGAGGGGGCTCTGAGCACACCACAGACCCTTCTAGGACCAACCCAACCCTACTCTATGGACCTTTTCCCATAAACTCCAGAGGAGGTGAGGGAAGGAGAGCTGGAACTTGGACCATCTACAATGTCCCCCTTTACCCCACTGTCATGACCAGAGCCCTGTACCCATCAACCCGTCCCCATCTCAGACACAGGCCGCCCTTACCTGGGCCCTGCCGAGAAGGGAATAAAAGCCAGAGGTGACCTCTCCTTGATGTTCTCTGGGTCAAAGCGAAAGGGGTCGTAGACCTGGAAGTAACACCAAGAAGCATTGCTGGGTGGGGTCTCCCAGGTCCACCAGCCTTGGAGAAACAGACAGTTGTGTGTGTCTTGGAGGGAGGTGATGTTGGATTCTCCTGATCAAAACCCTGCCCCCTCCTCTAGGAGCCTTGAAATGGACAAAAACAGAGGGAGGGAGGGGGGCCCCGCACCTCAGGGTCTGGCCACACAGTTGGGTTGTGATGGGTTCCAAAAACACTGAGGAGGCAGGTAATGCCTGTGGGAGAGAAGGGGGCAGTCAGGAGAAGACCTCCTTCCCTGAGGGGACCCTCTTCCTACCCAGGAGGCTCCTTCCCGTGAGACTGTGAGCACCTTTGGGGATGACCCGGCCGTCTGGGAGCACAATGTCCTGGGTGACATGGCGGGAGATGACCGGGACTGGGGGATGCAGCCGCAGGCTCTCCTTAATGCACATGGTCAGGAAGGGCAGCTGGGCCAAGTCGTCCCTAAGGAAACACCCAGCCCCAATCATTATCAACGGAGCAAAGACATAACTATCAGCTTCTCTGTTTGCAAGTGAGACCTTTTCTTCCTATAAGGAAATAAACTTTTAAAAAGAATTGTTACAAAGGTGCAGTAATAAAAACAGTGAGGCACTGTGGCAAAAACAAGAAAACAGACCCATGGAGAAGAACAGAGAGCTCAGAAAAAGACATAAGTGAAAACTTCACATTTGATAAAGAGAGCCCCTGTCCAAAACAAAATCCTGGGAAACTGATGGATTTTACGGTTATGAAAGAAAAATGTGGACCAATTTAACTTCACAGAAGTTGAATATGCTCAAGGTAGTAGTTTTTGCAAGTAAAGGATATTAATCAAAAGTACCCTCCAAAAGTTAAAAGGCAATATTTTGCAACCCAAGACAGAAAAAAAAAAAATCAATTTTGACCGGGTGTGGTGGCTCATGGCTGTAATCCCAGCACTCTGGGAGGCTAAGGTGGGTGGATCACAAGGTCAGGAGATCAAGACCATCCTGGCTAACATGGTGAAACCCCGTCTCTACTAAAAATACAAAAACTTAGCCGGGAGAGGTGGTGCACGCCTGTAATCCCAGCTACTCGGGAGGCTGAGGCAGGAGAATCGCTTGAACCAGGGAGGTGGAGGTTGCAGTGAGCTGAGATCGCACCACTGCACTCCAGCCTGGGCAACAGAGCGAGACTCTGTCTCAAAAAAAAGAAAAAGAGTAAAAAAGTAAAGGACCAACTTCCACAAAAAGAAAACGTCCAAGAGATGTTTAACCTCACTCTTATTTAAAACAACGTCCATCAAAAGAAGAAAGGTGAAGATTGGCATAGATTTTAACATTTAATAATACATTAGTAGTATTGGTAAAGTTATGGGAAAGCTTGTGCCATCAAACTCAGCTAATAGGAAAGGATTTGCAATAATTAAAATTGTACCATGCAAATGTTCTTTGATTCAGCAATTGCACTTGAGGAAATTTGTCCTGCAGACATGCTTATACGTGTAAGGAATGGTCAGTGTGCACACATGCTGATTGCCTCATGTCCACTTTTAGCAAAAGGTTAGGAACAAACCACATATACATTGATGGGAAGATGTTTAGATAAATAGCCATACAAGAGAATACTATACAGCTACCCAAAAGGAGGAAATAGGGATCACTAGTCTCATCACATACTATAGGCTAGAAGGTAAATCAGTACAGACAATCTGGAAGGCAAACTGGAAATATCTACTATCATTGAAAATGTTTATGTGTCTTCAACATAGGAATGAGATGAATAAATAAGGAATAAAATATTTACCACTCAGAAAAAAATAGCATTAAGACACACTGTCTAGTGAAAAACAGTTACAAATATATACATATATGCATGTAAAAAGGGCAAAAAGTATATGAATATATATTTATGGAAATGAATGATTCAGAGGTAGGTGATAGATTGATAGATGATGATAGATAATAGATAGATGACAGATATAGAAAGATAGATAATAGATACATACATAGATGATAGAAACAGAGACACATAGATGATAGATAGATAATAGGTAGATAGATACATAGATGATAGATAATAGATAGATAGATGATAGATAGACAGATAATACAGATAGATAGATGATAGATAATAGAGATAGATAGGTGATAGATAGATAGATAGATAGATAGATAGATAGATAGATAGATAGATAATGGAGATAGATAGATAGATAGATGAGATAGAGAGATGATAGATAGATAGATGAGATAGGTGATAGATAGCTAGATAGATAATAGAGATAGATAGGTGATAGATAGGTAATATAGATAGATGATAGATAGATAGATGATAGATAGATAGATAGATAGATGAGATAGAGAGATGATAGATAGATGAGATAGAGAGATGATAGATAGCTATATAGATAATAGAGATAGATAGGTGATAGATAGATAGGTAATATAGATAGATGACAGATAGATAGATAGATGATAGATAGATAGATAGATAGATAGATAGATAGATAGATAGATAGGTAGGTAGGTAGATAACAAATCTACAGCTCTGGAGACACCTTTAGAGAATGAGAAAGGATTAGGTGGGGTGGCAGAATTGTCAAGGAAAACCCTAGTCTTATCTGTAATATCTCATTTGGTGCAAGAAGAACCTGTCCTTATCATTGGTTTTGTAATTTAATGCTCATTTTCAATGTATATTTTCCATATACAACGGAACACCATTCAGCCTTAAAAAAAAAAAAAAAAAAACTTATCTCATTTGCTACAACATGGAAGAACCTGGAGGAACTCATGCTAAGTGAAGTAAGCCAGGTGCAGAAACACAAACACACATGATCTTACTTATCCTGGGACCTGAAATAGTCAAGCTCATAGAAATAGGAGTGCAGGCTGGGCGTGGTGGTTCACGCCTGTAATCCCAGCACTTTGGGAGGCCGAGGGGAGCAGATCACAAGGTCAGGAGTTCAAGACCAGCCTGGCCAATATGGTGAAACCCCATCTGTAATAAAAATACAAAAAAAAATTAACTGGCCGTGGTGGCAGGAGCCTGTAATCCCAGTTACTCAGGAGGCTGAGGCAGGAGAATCGCTTGAACCTGGGAGGCAGAGGTCGCAGTGAGTTGAGATCGTGCCACTGCACTCCAGCCTGGGTGACAGAGCAAGACTCTGTCTCAAAAAACAACAACAACAAAAAAGAAATAGAAGTAGAATGATGGTTACCAGAGGCCAGGGCTGAGGGAGGGACAGAGAAGGATGAGATGTTGGTCAAAGGATAGAAGCTTCAGTTATGCAAGAGGAATAAGTTTTTGAGATCTACTGCACAGCATGGTGATTTAGTGAACAATGTATTAATTGAAATTGCTAAGAGAGTACATTTCAAATGTTCTCAACACAAAAATGATAAATACATTAAGTGCTGGATTTGTTCATCACCTTGATTTAATAATTTCAGGTTGTACACCTACGTCATAACATCACATTGTACCTCTAATATGTATAATTAAAATTTATCAATGAAATAACAAATTTAAAAACAAACTCATTTTTGAAAACTCATATTTTGAGAAAAATATAAGATCTCAGAGATAAAGTGCAGAACTGTGTCTATTTTTATAGTTTTATTTACAAAGAAAAAAACAGTACATGTTCATGTAAATAAAAATCACAGCAGGAGTTCATATAAACGTGGGCATTGGGATAGCCATTTTCTGGAAGAATACACAGAAAACTGCTGACCGTAGTCACTGCTAAGGTGGAGCTTAATAAGGAAGCTCATCTTTATCATAAATTTTTTGGACCCTTTCTTTTAACCACATGCACAATTTTTGCTTGAATCTGGATTTTATACTCCAGGACTTGGGTCTGGGCAAAGATTCTCTGCGTAAGACCTCAAAAGCACAGGCAATAGACCAATGAGATTACAACAAGGTAAAAAGCTTCTGCACAGCAAAGGAAACAATCAGCAAAGTGAAGAATCAACCCACAGAATGGCAGAACATATTTGCAAATTACCCACCTGACAAGTGATTAGTAACCAGAATATATCATATAAGGAGCTCAAACAACTCAATAGGAAAAAAAAAAAAATCAAATCATCTTATTTAACATTGGTCAAAAGATCTGAATAGACATTTCTTAAAAGAAGACATACAAATGGCCAATAGGTAGATGGAAAAAAGTTCAATGTCACTAATCGTCAGAGAAATGCAAATCAAAACCACAAAGAGATATCATTTCATCCCAGTTAAAATGGCTTTTATCAAAAAGACAGGTAACGATAGATGCTGGTGAGGACATAGAGAAAGGGGAGCTCTCACACACTGTTGGTGGGAATATAAATTAGTGCAACCACTGCAGAGAACAGCACAGAGGTTCCTCAAGAAACTAAAACTAGAACTACCGTATAACCCAGAAATTCCACTACTGAAAAGAAAGACAAGAAATTTCTATCCCAAAGAAAGGAAATAAATCTGTTGAAGAGATACCTGTACTTCGTGTTTATTGCAGCACCATTCACAACAGCCAAAATATGGATTCAACTTCGTGTTTATTGCAGCACCATTCACAACAGCCAAAATATGGATTCAACCTAAGTGCCCATCAACTGAATGCATAAAGAAAATGTGGCGGCCGGGTGCGGTGGCTCATGCCTGTAATCCCAGAACTTTGGGAGGCTGAGGCAGACAGATCATGAGGTCAGGAGTTCGAGACCAGCCTGGCCAATATGGTGAAACCCCATCCCTATTAAAAATACAAAAATTAGCCAGGCGTGGTTGGTGCACACCTGTAGTCCCAACTACTTGGGAGGCTGAGGCAGAAGAATAGCTTGAACCCGGGAGGCAGAGGTTGCAGTGAGCCAAGATCGTGTCACTGCACTCCAGCCTGGGCGACAGAGCGAGACTCTGTCTCCAAAAAAGAAAGAAAGAAAGAGAGAGAGAGAGAGAGGGAGGGAGGAAGGAAAGGGAGAAAGAGAGAGAGGAAGGGAGGGAGGGAGGAGGGGAGGGAAGGAGGGAGGAAGGAAAGAAGGAAAGGGAGAAAGAGAGAGAGGAAGGAAAGGAGGGAGGGAGGAAGGCAGGAAGAAAGGAAGGCAGGAAGGGAGGGAGGGAGGGAGGAAGGAAGGAAGGAAGGAAGAAGGAAGGAAGGAAGAAAGGAAATGTGGCATGTATACACAATGGAATACTATGCCACTATTAAAAAGACTGGAATTTTGTCGTTTGCGGCAACATGGATGGAACTGGAGGTCACTGTGGTAAGTAAATAAACCCAGCACAGAAAGACACATATCACATATTCTCACTCACATGTGGGAACTGAAAAAGCGGATCTCATGAAATAGAAGGTAGATTGGTAGAAGGGAGGGAGGGGTGAGGAGAAGTTGATTAACAGGCACAAATGAGAGGTTTGATAGGAGAAATAAAACCTAGCACTCGATAGATCAGTGGGCTCACTGCAGTTTACGATATGTACTGTACATACCAAAATAGTTAGCTTATGTTAGTTATGTTTCTGGCATAAAGAAAAGACAAATATTTCAGGTGACAGATATCCCAAGTACACTGATTTGATCTTTGCCAATTATATGAATGTATCAGATTATCACGTGCATTTCAAATCTATGTGTATCTATTATGCAGCAATAAAAAATTGTTTGTTAAAAATGCAGAAAAAGTATTGGTTTTAAAAGCAGAAAAATGTTTCTCCTCCTCACAGGGCTGCTGTGCTGAGCAAAGGCATGGACAGGAGGACACTGAATCCAAGACACCCATCCACTCCAATGCTTCCTCTCCTTCCTCCAGCCCCTGGCCTGGCTCGGGCCTCAGAATGTCCCCACTGTGCCCTCATTCTACAGCTAGTCCTCTCCAGAATGCCCTCCACACTAGCCCTAGAAAGATCTTCCTGGTACCCAGATGTGACCTGTCCCTCCCCTGCTCAAACACTTCCCATGGCTCCCTATTGCCCTTGGGCTTAAACTGAAGCCATTAACATTTTCGCCAAGGTTTCCACAGCCAGCCCCAGTTTTATCATCTCACCATGACTGAGTTTTCTCCCTCTCTCTCCCCTTCTCCTTCTCCTTTCTGCCCCCTACCCTGCTCTCTCTCTCTCTCTCTTCCTCCCCCTTTCTCCTGTGAAGATCTCAGGCAGTCTTCTTGACCTAGAGCACTGCTCCCCAGCTGTACCCAATTATCTACTAATCATTATTCAGATCATTATTCAGGCTCTCAACTGAGACACTTTCTATACTCCCCAGTCCTGCTTCTCTGACTGCAAACCCCACCCCTGCCCACGTGGGGTGGGAGTGTCCTGCCCAGGGACAGTTCCCCCACCAGGCTGGGAGCACCTGGAAAACAGATCTCTGGGCTGGGTCCTTCCCAGGTCTCCAGAGCACAGAAAGATGCTGTGCACAGATGTGGGGGAGGGAATGCAGTGTGGGAGCGTTTGCTGAATGAGGATGGGATGGATGAACGATGCAGGTGTTGTGGACAAGAATGGATGACTTTTACCCCCAGGTCTCCCTTATAAATGCCTGGACTGGACTGGAGAGTCGGAATTAGGGAACAGAAGAGCAAACATTCAACCAGTGAAGATGTTCGGAAAAAAAATGATATTTCTGGGAGAAAAGGAAGAGAGTGGAGGGGAAGTTCATTTGCTGAACATGTGCTAAGTGGCATGATCTGTCCTCACATATCATCACCAATTCTCTCAGAAGCCCAGGTCTTTCTGTAACCTAACGGCCTGTAACCTATCCCCAGACAGTCAGGCTGGGTATTAAGTCCTGCCTGTGGTCCTCTGCTCCTATTCCCACTAAGCAACAGTGGAAGAATCAACAAAAACAAGCCCTCTCCCCTTCCCACCTGGGGAACAGAGTCAACGAGAGAGGCTCAGGAACAGCCACCAGCACCTGCACTCACCATTCAATCTCTTTAGGCTCACGGTCCTTCAGAAGCTCTTGCACCTCCTGCCGGCAACGTTCCTGGTATTCCGGGTGCTTTGCAAGGTGGTACAGGACCCAGGAGAGACCACTGGCCGTGGTGTCATGGCCTGGGAGGCAGCAAGGCAGGCTTGGGTCTCTGGGCTGCTTCAGCACCCAAGGGTGGACAGCACCCATACATTGAGGACTTCAGGGAGGATGGGGGAAGGGGGACAGGAAGGCTGGGGAGTTTGGACCAACAGGTCCAACCACCCTGTTTGTGGAATGGAGAGATCCCGGTCCCCACTGTAGCCCCACACTGGGGCCCTCACCCTCAAACATAAAGGTGTCAGCTTCTGCTCTTATGTCCTCATCGGACAACTCCTTCCCGTCTTCATCCTGGAGAGAAGGCAATAACCCCAAACCCCACCCCCCCAACAAAAAGTCACACTAGCTCTGAGGGCTCTTGAGTCTAATCTGAGACAAGCTCTGAAGATTCATCCTTTTTCCAGAAATCCAAGTCCATCTTGCCCTCCTAGACCCCTGTTGGTCACCACGGCCACAGCCCCCACCTCATGACCCTCCTCTCTGGCTTCTTTGCCTCCTCTTGGTCCCTATTGGGAAGACTCAATGATCCATGAACATTTTAATGAAAAGTTTCTGAGAAAAAGTTACTGGCAACCTGAGTTACAGGAGAATTAAATGGCAATTTCCCTCGGAAATTAGAGATTAAGTATTGCTCCAAAGATACTGGCCCACATTCTAGAGTGATACATCTAGAGAATCTTATCTCCCTGGAGACATTTGGGTTGTAAGCCTACAGACGATGGCATCTCACTGAGGAGGATTTGTTTATGCTCCAAAGCAAAAAACACACACCGTCTCACAAAGCTAGCAAGCATTCTCACTCGATCTCTCTCTCTCTCCCCCTCTGTGTGTGTGTGTGTGTGTGTCTCATTCTCTTTCTTGGGAAGAAATAGAAAATGTGCCAAGACTCATAATGTAGGGCCCCTCTCCTAGGGTGCAAACTCTTCTGGACATACAGGTGAAAACGTTGCCCTTGGAGAAATTTGACTTGAGGCTGAAGAGCCAGTGCCACAATCCTGCTCTGGCTGGTAGTATTGCTGTGAGTGAGACGTAGGACTGCTCTGATTCAGAGGTTTAATGCATCTGTCACAACAGACATACACATAGACAAAGACATAGACACAGACGCAGACACAAACACACATAGACAAAGTCATAGACTTAGACACAAACACAGACACACAAACACACATAAACATAGACATACACACAGATATAGACACAGACACACACACACACAGACGAAATCATAGACTTAGAAACGCAGACACACAAATACACATAGACATACACACAGATATAGACACACACACACACACAGACGAAGTCACACTTAGAAACACAGACACACAAATACAAATACACATAAACATAAACATAGACACAGATATAGACACACACACAAACACACATAGATGAAGTCACAGGCTTAGAAACACAGACACACAAATACACATAAACATAGATATAGACACAGATATAGATACAAACACAAATACACACACACATAGATGAAGTCACAGGCTTAGAAACACAGACACACAAATACACATACACAGAAACATAGACATAGACACAGATATAGACACACACACAAACACACACAAATGAAGTCACAGACTCAGAAACACAGACACACAAATACACATAAACATAAACATAGACAAAAATATAGACACACACACACATAGATGAAGTCACAGACTTAGAAACACAGACACACAAATACAAATACACATAAACGTAGACATAGACACAGATATAGACACACATACACACATATAGATGAAGTCTTAGACTTACAAACACAGACACACAAATACACATAAACATAGACACAGATATAGACACAGACACAAACACATAGACGAAGTCACAGACTTAGAAACACAGACACACAAATACACATAAACATAGACATAGACAGATATAGACACAAACACAAACACACACACACACACACATAGATGAAGTCACAGACTTAGAAACACAGACACACAAATACAAATACACATAAGCATAGACATAGACACAGATATAGACACACACACAAACACACACAAATGAAGTCACAGACGTAGAAACACAGACACACAAATACAAATACACATAAACGTAAACATAGACACAGATATAGACACACACACAAACACACATAGATGAAGTCACAGACGTAGAAACACAGACACACAAATACACATAAACATAAACATAGACAAAGATATAGACACAGACACACACACATAGAAGAAGTCACAGACTTAGAAACACAAACACGCAAATACAAATACACATAAACGTAGACATAGACACAGATACAGACACAGATGCACACATAGACGAAGTCACGGACTTAGAAACACAGACACACAAATACACATAAACATAGACACACACTCAGACACAAATACTCATAGACGTAGACATCGACATAGACAAAAACAGACACAAGCACAGGCACAGACAAAGATATAGACACAGCATTGACATAGACACAGCCATAGACGAAGACACTGTCACAGACACAGACAAAAAACACGGACGTAGACAGACACTGAGACAAAGACACAAACACGGAGAAAAGACAAAGACATAAACACAGACACAGATACACACAAAGACATAGACGTGGATGAAGATACAGACAGAGACAAAGACATGCACATAGACGTAGAAAAGACAGGACAAAGCCGTAGACATGGACAAAGATGAGGACACAGATACAAAGACGTACGGATCTGGCCAATGACAAAGACAAAGACACACAGTCACAGTCACAGACAGAGACACAAACGCAAACAGAGACAAAGATATAGAAAGACATAGGCAAAAACACAAACATAGATCCAGACGTAGATGTAGATATAAATGTACCTATTTAAATGTGGCCAGTTCACTCATTAGCTTGTAAATAGAGCAAACTCTCAGACTTGTCAGTTTCAAACCTAGCAGCTCCCTGCTACGTGCACTCCACAGAGTCATCTCTAAAACCTATCTCTGACCTGTCCCTCCCTTCCTCAATCACCTTCCATGGCTCCCTAGTGCCCTCTGGATCAAGTTCAAATTCTTTCATCTGACATTTCACATGAAGCTCCCTTCTACTTCTTGAATTCAGATCCCAGAGAAGCCCACCTTGCTCAGCAGGAGCACATCAATGAAGTCCAAAGTCTTGGATTTGGCCTTGGCTTGGAGGAAGTCCTCAACACCCTGGCTAGGGAGGGTGCGGCGCCGCTCCTGGATGACGGCGTCTGTGAAGTCGTGCACCAGGCGGCAGGCCCTGCGGAAACGCTGCCCATCAGGGGTGAGATAATACAGGAAATCTATGTACAGGAGGATCTGCTGGTGTCTTTTTGATATAAGGGCACTGAGCTCCAAGATGGCGGCAATATATTCACTGGGCTTCCTGCAGGATAAGGGCAGAAAGGGAGAAAACAATTTAATACACCTGAAGCCCCAGGAGCACCTCCCACCAGCAGCCAGGAGCTACCTCCTATCAGTAAACGGAGTATCCAGGAACAGATGACCCCACAGATACAGGGTGGGGATCAGCATGAGATTGATTCTCCAAGCTCTCTTCTCCCCCTGCATCCTATCTCTGTGAGATGCCTCCATGCTGCTAGGCATCCAGAGTATAACTTGCACATTTTTCTCCTATTCTCTCTTTCCCTCACCGTATACAGTCCTGACCCTTCTCCTTGAAACTGTCCACAAAGTTCAGACTTCATCCTCCTCCAACCGGTCCATGATCTAGCTTCCACCCTAGCCTCTTTGCATCAATGTTAACTCCATTTAGTGCTACATTACAGGCAATCCCCTATAGAGCTCAGCTCTGACCACATCCACCAGTTCAAACCTCTTCGATGGCTCCCTGGAAGCCTCAAGATAAAGTTCACACCAGTCCTTCAATGATCAGGTATAACGAAACACCTCCAGGAAGGTTTGTCTGATTTCCCTGCTCAGTCCTCCCTCCCCCACCTACCCACTTTGGGTCCATGGCCCAAGATCCCAGACCCTAGGCAAGAACTTACTCCTGACAATGGCTGTCAAAGCTGAAGACACATTTCTGCAGACTGTCCAAGGTCATGAGGCTGATGTGCTCAAACATGTCCAGACGGGCACTGCCCCCCGAGGCCAGAAGCTGCCACTTGGCCTAGCCAGAGAAGGGGACAGAGCTGGGGCAGGCTCCTCACTCCCTTGAGCACCTCTCCAACCCCAACTGTCAAGATGCATTCCCCAGAATAAGCCTCTTCATCTTCTCCCCTGGGACCCCTCCCCAGGGAGGACCAGGTTATGGTGCAAGCAAAAGCTGTTACTACTAAGAGATGAAGACCCAAGATTGGGAGTTAGGAGACCTAGGTTCAAGTTCCAGCTCTGGCTCCTGTGCTCTGTGTGCCATTAGTCAATTCACTACCCTCCCCTATATCCCACCTGTCGAATCTTCAGAAACAGTTAAGATGATGTGCTTTGGAGTCATATAATCCACGTTAGAAACTGCTCCACCATGCCAAGCTCACTCATTAGCTGGGTGAACTTGGGTTAGCTCCCTAATCTCTCAGACCTGCAGTTTCATCATCTGCCATGGGGCAGAAATACATCATCTCTCCTTCACAGAGTTCTTAAAATTAAATTGGACAATACATACTCGTGTCATGGAATGGGCACATGGCATTGTTTCTGGCATATGGTTCATGCTCAATAAATGTTGGATTTCCCCATCTGCATTGTAATAAATTGATTTCAACAATCTCCCTGTTTTGGGGAGGTAGTCCTTCGTGAGTCCTGAGCATCCTTTCTGGGAATGTCATGAATGCAAGACACTGATGTTCTTGACATGGAAAATTTATCAGAGTTGTGTTTGCAAAGAATAACTTTGAGGGATAAGGTAAAGACTCCCCCTAGACATGTTGCTTTTGCTTGCTATAAAAGCAGATTCCCTAAGCTTAATTCTCCTTTTCTGTAATGCAATATACTATGTCAGCAGGCATTTATAGAAGCACACCTGTGTCAGCCCATGGGATTTGGGAAGCTTGGAGAAAAAAAATGCAATCTAACAAGAAACACATGCTGCTCTCTGTGTCATGAATAGTAAACTATCCTTTGTCTCTGACCCAGGAGTCTCTTGTCCTTCTGGAAGAATTTATGAAACTGTAACAAACTAACTTATCAATTTGTAAGGTAAAATAAATCCTAGACACTTCACAAAACCTTGCCACAACTCATCCCTTCCTCCCATATCCACACTCTTTACAATGTGATTTTTCAGCAACTCCCATTAACAGACAGAGCCTATTTTACCCCCTGCCTTTGATTCCGTGTTGGACTTCTGGCTTTCAATGTCAAAATACAATGTGGTGAAAACGATGAGGTAATAACTAATGAAGTTAAACCTCATCTTACTCCCTGGAGCCCTGCCTGCGTTGTGAACCACGGGGTGCCTTCTGGAAGGAGACAATCATAGGGAGGAACATCCAGGGGTCCCAGCTGAGGCCAAACCCAGACATGTGAGAGAACCCAAACATGTCCCAGCCAAAACCCAAACATGTGACAGAATTCAACCAACACCTGCAAGGCTGCCGACCTGACCCCCAGCTGCTCATGTACCACGAATGATCCCTTCCACATCCAGAAGAACCCGCCAACTGTACCACAGACTTATTAGCAATCATAAGTCCTTATTGTTTTAAACCAATCAGTTTTCAAGTTCCTTACCAGCAACAGCTACTATGCAATGGTCGTCATGACCCTCTTGAGTTTACAGGGCCAGGGTGATGGAAACATAGAAACAGACACCTTCTGGGCACCTACTGTGCACCAGGGACATGACTCCATTACATCACCTTGACCATCTTTTAAGTAGGGATTATTAGCCCCATTCTACAGATGAGGAAACCAAGGCTCAGAGAAGAAGAGCAATGGCCCAATGGCACAAGCAGAGCCAAAATTCCAGACCAGATCTGTCTGTGGTCCCCCCAACCAAAGGCTGCAGCTGGGACCTTGGCTTCAAATAACTCACATGCATGATGTTCACACTGTCATTGAAAATCTTCATATAGGGCTTCAGGATGTTGAAATGGAAGGCAGGTGTCAGCATCCGACGGTGGCGGCTCCACTTGTCACCAGCACTCAGCAGGAGCCCATCCCCTAACAGGGCAGCCAAGGGCCATGGGCAAGGGTGTCTCCCTCCCCTGGCCCTCCAGGTTGTTCCCAGCCCTGTTCACCTGCAGATACTCACCCAGCCAGGGCTCCAGGAAGCTGTAGAAGAACTTGTCCTTTGGTGCAAGGGTGGCTGACATAAATGAGGACAATCAGGGGCCATGGAGGCAGGTGAAGGAGGAACCTTGGGGGTGGTGGAGGCTCCCAGCAAGAGGTTTGCATTTCTCCCTTCCGAGCCCCACATACAGGAAGGGGGCCAAGGGCAGAGGAAGAAAGGAGGATGGGGGAGGGGAGAGAAGACCAGACCAGGCTACGGCAGCACAGTACAGCGATGGCACTGCCTAACCTGGCACAAAGAAGCTATGTCGGGGCTCCAGCATGCCTTGACACGCCTCCTACATGACCCAACATTTTCCTCAACCCCTGAGCACAGCTCGGCACTCCACAGAATGCCTTCACATGGACCTAGGACACCCTGTCTGCCCCAGCACTCGCTGACATCTCCTGGCATGGCATCTTCTGACATGGACCTGGACATGAGACATGACCCTGACATGTGTTCACATGTCCTGACATGGCCACAAAATACATGACAATTCCTAACACGAGACAGTATGCTCTAACATGCACATGAGATGGTCTAACATGACCTTAAATGCGTGTTCCACATACAGGCTCCGGGTTGAATATAAATATGGTATCTTTAACGTCCCAGACATAGCCCACATGTGATCCAGACTGTTCCTTAGGCATGACCCAAACATACTATAACACAGCCTCAGACAAGACTCAAATAATGTATCAGACAGCTCACGCAGGGACTCTGGGTCCCAGACCTCACATAAGCCCCAAACATGGCCCAGATGTGACCAGCAGGAGGAAACAGCAATGTCAAACAGCACCTGAGACAAGAACCAAACAGGCCCTCACATGCCCCACATGTCCTTGGCCACAGATCAACCCCACACATGACCAGCTCTACATGACCCCAGTTGGATTGATACACCAGATGTAACCAGGTATAACACATTTCAGGTGTAACCAGGACCCACGTGTAAATATACACGTGACAAGACATAGCCGTACAGCAGACCTGACCATATAACAGCCATCATACAGACATGCCCCAGACATGAGCAAACAGGAACAGAGGTCAGACAGGTGGAAGTCCAGGGGCGATGGAGGCAGTGGCATCTCCACCACAGCTCCTCCTGTCTGCACGTGGGCACGCGATCCACTGGAGGCAGCACAGAGACCCCAACTGTGGGCAAGGCGTGGCCAGTGCAGTGTCTACCTGGAGCAAAGAGCACAGGCTTGATGTAGGTGGGGTGGAAGATGCGGACGATTGCGTGCCAGGGCCCCACCCACCAGCAGCACATATCACCAAAGGTGCACACCAGGCTTTGTATGTATAGGAGACCTTCCTCCGAGCTGTGAATCTGGAGAGAAAGACACAGGACCCAATTTAAGCTCTCCTAGGCTGTGAGAGAGAAGGATCTGCAGAGAAGAGGTCGAAGCCCTCGTCCTGAGGATTTCAAGCAGCATCTCATCCTCCTCTCAGTGCTGAGCCCCACCTGGGCTTCCTCCTCACATCCTCCAGGCAGGATTCTCCAGTCCTTCAGTTACACAGACAGAAAAGGTCTTTCCTCATGTAGATCCACACACCGTGTTTCCTGAGCTCTCATTCATCCCATTTTCCAGATGAAGAGCCTGAGACTCTGAACAAGAAAGTCACTTGCCCACAGTCCCAGACCATGGCAAGTCTGAGGCCTGAGACTGGGTCTGTCTGCACCCATGGCCTGAATCCTTAACCAGCAAACTTCTTTGCGCCCCCAAAACAGTAGCTCTGGAAGACCCAGGCCTGCCAAGACTGGCCTATCAGAGTCACAGGGATTGGGTGAAAAATTGGTCCTATGACTCAGGCAAGGAGAAGTAAATCATGGGCCATTTCTGGGAACTCTGAGGGAAAGGTGGGGTTTCCCATGGGAACTGAGCTTCTGGGACTCATCTTTGACGTCATGAGGAAAAGACCGCCTTGAAAGGAGAAGCAGCCTGGAGAAAGCTAAAGCCAAGAGAGAAAGACAGATTCCTAGTGACATTGTGTGAGACCCGGATCCAGCCATGCCTGAAGGCCACCCTCCCTGGACTTTAAAGTCAATAGGTTCTCTTTCTTTGCTTAGACCACACTAGGTTGGGTTTCCACCACTCACAATGGAAAGAGACCTCAATAACCAGAGACAGCTGGGAACCAGCCCAGAGTCACTCAGCATTTTAATGTCAGAGCCATGGTCTCTGTAGGATGCTGCCCATTCCCCCTGCTCAGCCTGGCCTGTCCAACGAGGGGAAGCACAGAGATCAAGGAAAGGGTCCCAAGCTGGGGTGAAGTCTCCTTTTGGAGATCCCCAGGCCCTGCAGCAGGAGAGCAATGAACTTAGGGTAGACAAGCTATAGGATGGGGTAAAAGGAATTGACCCACCAGAGGTGGACATCATGGAAATAGCAGCCCCGACCTCCCACCAGCCACAAGTCCTCCTCATTGTTCTAGGCTTTGGGACAGGCAAGTTGATGCTAGACCTGGCAAGGGGCCTTGAATACTACCGATGTCCAATTGCATCACCCTGCACTCTCCTTTCAAACATTCCTACTCATTGTTCCAGACAGAGCTCCAGCAACTCCTCCTCCAGGAAGTCTTCCAGCCTGCCCCAGCAGAGACCTTGTTCTTCCCTGGACCATCATCCATCTCCCTCTGGCCTTTTCCTGATCCCATGAAGTTGGGGATATCTCTATCCAGGTCCATCTCTTTAAGGTTGGGGTTCCTCCAAGACAGAGCCTTGAGTTGAGGTCTCTCGGGGTGTTCCAGGGCAGCCCAGAACACCAGAACAGGGGTTCAGATGGCAGTGGAGAGAGGAGACGCTGAGATGGGAATTGATGAATACATGAAAGAAAGACGAAGATGGCTGAGAGAGAAGGAAAGGAGAGTCCAGAGTACTGCAGGGACCAAACAGGAGCTTGGGGATAGAGGAAGTGCAGGCCTCAAATGCACTGCAGCACCCACCACCAGGTGTTCCAGATGGTACCTGAGGCATTGATGACAGACCGGATGATGTCGGGGTGGCACAAACTGAGGAGGGGGAAGACGGGGCCCATCCAGACCCTAAAGCCCCGGGGATAGGTGGCCACCAGCTGAGTCAGAACTCTCATGCCCTCCTCTGTGGATTTGACCTGCAAGCAAGGCAGGGGTCATTACCTTCTGTGGTGGTTAATTCTAGGTGTCCACTTGACTAGGCTAAGGGATGCCCAGGCAGTTGGTCAAACATTTCTGGGTGTGTCTAATCTATTCGTCCTATCTATCTAATTTTTCTATATATATATATCTATCTGCCTACCCATCTATCCATCAATCCATCTTATCTGTACTTTCATCCATCCATATATTCATCCTATTATCTGTCTACTTATCACCTATTAATAACTACCTATTCATCTGTCTAATGTATCCATCATATATACCTACTCTATCTGTATACCTAATCTATCCATCCTATCTACTTTATCTACCCATCCATCCATCATCCATCCATCCATCCTATCTGTGCATCCATGTGTCCATGCATCCATCTATCCTTTTATCTATCTACGTACCTGTCCACCCATCCATCCACCCATCTATCCATCCTATCTGTGCATCTATCTATCTATCCTATTATCTATCTATCTATCTATCTATCTATCTATCTATCTATCTATCTATCTACATTCCTCCTGATCTATCTATCTATCTATCTATCTATCCTATTATCTATCTGTCTGTTTATTTATCTGTCTATCTATCTATCTATCTATCTATCTATCTATCTATCTATCTATCTATCTATCTGTGTATCTATCTATCCACATTCCTCCTGCTCTCTCTGTCTCTTGGGACCACCTCCAAGTCCCAAGGGTGCATCCCAGGGCGGAGGGAGAAGACACGCTGTCCACTCACAGAGGCCCAGTTAGCTTGAGAGGAAAGATTTTCTTGTTCTGGGAGTCATTTCAGCCCAGAGGCGGCCACATGGGGAGGTCCTCACAGGGGAGATTCATAGGGAGCAGTATGGCCTCAGGACATGTCCCTAAGGCTGGTCCCCGCACCCCTTCATGTCCTGACTGGTTCACAGAGGTTCCGGTTCCTCCCATGGAGAAGGTTCTGCACACAGGAGACCCTCCCTTCTCAGCAGCCACTAGGGGAGCAGAGGTGACTCTGACTGTCCATCAGGGCAGTGTCTCCCACCTGGGAGCAGCTTCTGCACCAGGCTCTGTGCTAGTGCGTCCTGTGCACCCTCCCACTTCACCTGTGGACACACCCATCAATCCTGCCATTTGCAAATGAGCAGACTAAGACCACGTCCCCCAAAGAGGAGAGCAAGTCTAAGTCAGAGGGCAAGGTCTCGGGGAAGGGAAAGGCCAAGGAAAGCTTCTGAAAGGGGAAGTGAGTGACCAACTTTTATCTGGGTTTGGTAACAGGTCTCATTGGTAAGAGAGAGATAAGAGGAAGAAGAAGATAAGAGGAAGGGGCCTTCAGATATGGTGGAAGTGGGAGAGGGCCCACGCCTCTCCTCTAGCCCAGCTGTACCCTCACAACAGGAAATAGTCCAGGCAGGGAGAGGACCCTGGACAGTGGGTGCAGGAGGCCTCGAGTCCAGCCATGGAGAATGTGGGAATGCCAGGGACTCGCCTCTCTGTGCAGCCAACCCTCTGCCCAGAAGCCCCGCAGAGGTGCATTAATGTGGGAAGACAGGTAGGAAAAGGATTCAATGCAGGCCAGGAGTGGGAGGATGAGGAGGTGAGAAGGGCTTGGGTTGGCACAGCACAGAAATAAGTGAATAAACAGAGGAATGAGTAAGACGCTTCCCCTGCTTTTCTGCCACCCCAGATCCCAGCCCACCCCCTTCACCCCCACTCCGTCAGCCTCAGACCCCTCAGGAAGTCCATCCACCCTGAGACCTAGACCCGTCCTGCTGCCACACTCACCATGCCCTGGTGTCCCCAAAACCAGTTCCGTTTCGGGGGTTGTGGGAAACCCCGGAGGCGGCGGCTGTTGTCATAGAAGGCGTAGATCCAGGCCAGGACACGGGCCAGGAGCCAGGAGGTCCCGACTAGCAGCAGGAGCAGCCATGGGGACGCTGCCACCGGCCCGAGGCCCAGCCAGGACAGGCTCAGCTGGGACATCCTGCAGGGCAGATGGGATGGATGGTGAGGTCCTGAGGCCCAGGGAAGGGCCCAGGGAGCTCCAGGGATAGTGAAGAGGCAGGGACGGGCAGTGCTGGAGGTAGAGCAGGGAGGGCTCAGCGATGGGTAAAAAGGGACTGAGAGGTAAAGTACAGAAAGGCCCAGCCAAAACCAGCAGCCAAGTGGCCTCCAGTTCCCTAGTAAACACTCAGAATGGGAAAGAGAGAGAGAGACTGATTAAAGTCCAGAAAGGCCCAGCCTGAATCACTGGGAGGTTGCCAGGGGCTTGGTTTCAGTTACCAGGAAACCTCCCATCCTCCAGGCCAGCACCCGGGAGCTGCATGGGCCTTGGGCAGCACCCCTCTTCATCCCAGGCCAGGACCCCCCCAGACCTGCCACTCCCAGCCTGGTACCTTCTGTCAGGAGCAGTTTGTCCCACACAACCTCCTCTCCCTGTCTGCTGGGAGGCCTTTGACCCTGGCCCTTGATGTAGGAAAGGCTGTGGGAGGGCTGGTTGGGTTGGGCTGGGCCAACCAATCCCTGCAGCCTGAGTGCATCTCCCGAGCCTGGGCAGCCAACCAACACCTGGCCTCAGGCCAGCTGAGTGCAGAGGAATCAACTCAAGGTCCGGGTGGATGGGTAGATAGATAATAGAGTAGATAGGATGGATAGTTTAGGTAGATAGACAAAGTAGATATAGATGATGGATATATTAGACAGATGGATAGATAGCTATTAATAGAAGATAGATACATAGATAATAGGATAAATAGATGAATGGATGAACCTACAGCTAAGATGGATTGATGGATGGATGGGTAAGCAGATATATAGAGAGAGAGATAGAGAAATTAGATAGATGGGATGAGTAGATTAGATAGACACACCCAGAAACAATGTTGCATCGCTGCCCCAGATATGTGGGATCCTCATTTGTGACGTGGGAACTGGGGATCCTGGGTCACTCCAATCACTCCAGATGCTACACGGCCAGTGACTCACTCAGTACAATGCTGAGGAACCATCGGAAACAGGATCAGAGTCACTCTCAGGCAAACTAAAAATAAAAATAAAAAATAAAAACCTCCAAGGATTAAATGATTTTTCCCATTGTCCTGGGGAGAAATTAATCCAAGGAAGGTCACAGGGCAAAGAATTCCCCATCACCACCACCACCACCACCAGGGGCATTCCATCACCCCTGGAGTTTTCTGATGTACTCTTTGGCCCATTAAGCATGAAATTTCTTTTGCTAGGTTTCTTTCTGATAAGGGAGAAGAGCTTAATATCTCTACCTTTCTTCTCCTCCTCCTGCCTGGTCTCTGTATTCTGGGTTAAACTTTAATTTATGTTGGGGATTTGCAATGTCTGACACATCTACCTGAGCCTTCTGCACAGAGATACATTGGGAGTGGAGGCTAATAATTGGGTCAAAGGAGAAACGCCATAAGCCCACACTCCAGCCTATCAGGGTGGATTAAAGGTCTGACTTGCCCGACTCTTGTCTCACCTGCTCCCATGGTCTGAGTAAAAGTCTGGGTCCTGGGACTAGGAAGTTGTGCGAAGCCTTCC